AATGACACAACACAATAAATTTTATAATTTTTTAATATAATTTGAATTTGTTTGATTTTATGACAAATGTTCATAAATGTTGAGAATAGACAATAAGTTTAGGTAGTAACACAATGCGATGACAAATGCTTGGTTGAATAAAGGCTTAAGAAAATTGTATTTTTTTTCTTGAAATATTGACAAAATTTACCGTAACCCTCGGTTTGTTTGCAATGAACAAATCTACCTTCCTATACTTTACACATTGAAAATGACAAAATGGGTAGTGAATAACATGGAGAGATTTATTGGAGAACTACACACACCACTTATGATCTGTATGGGATAGCTTTTTGTCTGCTTTACTTTTCAGACTATCACCATAGTTCTATTTGGGGAACTGTTTTATAACAGTTTTTAGAAATTTTTGTAATAAAAAATAGTTTTTTTTCAATATGAGTTGTTAAAATATGACGGCTGTCAAAAAACTACGTTTGATTTTTTGAAATAAAATAAATCTCTAATAGCCATCATAACTTTTTAATAAAGTTATTTCTTCTAACAACTTTACAACTACTTCTACCAACAACAACAACTGCCCCAAACATACCCTTGGCTAACTATTCTTTCGAAAAATTATAACTTGGTTTTCTCACGTATTAAGAGTCAATAATGTTCAAATTTATAAAGATTTTGAGTTTTTTATACACATAAATAATAGTACTTTGTTGAAGGTCAACTTGTGCACTATTATTTTGTTAATGGACACTAACTATAATTAAATAGGTCTCAAGTTCTTAGCACTCTAGCATATCATGTAAGCGCTTCACATTCTCTAAAATGCATAACATAAGAAGTGGGGAAAGGAGTTTCTTAGTTTAAAAACCTCACTTACCTTCCATCTTAAAAACTCATCAAAGTCATTGGAGCAAAGGAGTCTCTACAAGGCTTTATCAGAGAAGAGGATAAGTGCTTGTTTTTTAGGTATGGGAGTGAGGGAGCTCTCCTCTCTTTTGAGATATCTCTTCCACATCCTTTGCTTCTTTAAGGGAAGTAGAGTACAACAAAGCATTTTAAAAAGAGTTTAATTCTAAAAATAATATAATTAAAATTAGGATCTCCTAGGTTTGTATTTAGCCACAAGATTCTTAGTTGTTCGCTATTAGAGATTCATTCTTTTAGGATTTCATCGTTTTATTTGCTTGATATAAATAGTTGTGTTTTACTTGAGTAGTTTGAGAAGATATATGAAGACTTGCTGTTGATTTCATTTTTAACTGTGTGAATAAGATGTTTTCAACAAGCGATGGAATTTATGAATTTTGAATTTCAACCTAACGAGTAAGCAGGCATACATAATTATATAAAGCTACTAGCTAAGTATATAGGGTCAAGTAATCAGGCATCACATATTTTGTATTGCCTTCAAACATATATGATGCATTTTGATAAGCTTAAGCCATTGCTTAATTAATTTTAATTGTTTAGTATTCTAACTTTTTTGACTTTACTTCAGCCAAAATTTGATGAAGTAGCTAAGTTTTTACCAATATTGGTTTGACTTAGAGTTGATTAAAATTTAATTGAATTGATTTGTTGATATTTTAGGTTGTATTATAATAAAAACATGACTCTTGGCATCTTGAGAGGCATTCTTTAACAATCAAATCTTATATAAATGTCGACATTGACCGCCCTTTTAATGAAGCAATATACTGAATACAATTCAGATCAATATATTGAAGGAGGGTCATCACAGTTGTAAATGAATCAAGTTGAGCCAATTACGTGGTTGTTCAAACGTAACTCGAGCTTTATAAATGTGTTCAAACTTACTTAATCTAAGCTCATGTCTATTTGACCTTGGCTCTATTTCAATTTTTTTAAGATTATCGAGTATATTAACAAGCTCTTCATTTGACATAAAATTTATGCTTCATTCAGGCGATGTTAGCCCAAATAATTAAAATTTAAATGATATTAATCCGGTTGTTTACTACCTTAATTGAGCTTGTTAACAAGTTTGTTTTCTAGCTGTAAATGCTTACAACTAAAATTCGTATCATGTAAATACTACCCTCAATGTAGGTAAATAAAAGATCCAGCCAAATTGAGCACACAGCTCAACCTTATCCAAGCACGGATGCATGGCTTTGAATATTGATAGGTTGGGTAAAGTAAAATTTTTAAATTACATTAGAGGAGTATTTTCTCACAAACTTTATTAACATTAGTGATGACGACTGATCTAAAATACATATTTCATTCATGTGGCCGTCTTTGACTAAGCATTTATACCAAAAGAATAATACCCACTTTAAAATTAAAATAAGAGCTGAATTTAAAATTACATTTTCATCCACTATGCATTTTTATAAAATTACCATTTGGGCTACCTCAAAAATGAAATAAAATTAAAATTACAAGGAGCAAAAGTGAAAGGAAAAAAAAAAAAATGAGAGAGAGAGAGGAGGTTTTATATTGCCGCAATCACTTTCAAGCCAGCCAAGAAGAACTGAATCAAAAGGCAGGAAATTCAAATCAACCGAAGGTGGAGTCATAAATCAAAGAGGAAGCCAACTAACCAGCCAAATCCAATTCCTATTTCTTCTTCCAAACCTTCCGGCTTTCCAATTGGAGCCAACCAATTAATCCTCTTTTGAAATTAAAATAAAATTGATTCCCACACTCCAAAGCTTATATCTTTTTTTTCTCAACTTGCTTTTTTATTCTACTTATTTAGTTTCATTTATTTCATAGGAATATTATAAGAGCAGACTTGTGGAAATCGACTTATACTTTGTAAAGAGTCTAAACAGGCCTCGACTATTTATATTAGATCATTTTAGTCTCAGGATTTATAGAAGCTTTGGAGTGTGGTCATGAGGAGGCTGACTATAAACGAATTATTTTGACACCATACTCTTATCTCTAACTATATGTAGTCTATACACAATTGAGTCATAAATTTACATTTAATCATGATTAAATATTAAATAAGTTTCAGCTTGAATTATCATATTCATAGGATTCTAAGATGGGCGAAGCTTTCACCATAGATCATTCATCAAACATTGTTATTTGAGGCGGTTGATTTTCTTAAATAATGACCAATCAAATTTAATAATTTCAGAAACTCCATCTTATGTATAATATATATTCATCAACTTCAGCCTTATCTGAATATATTATATCTGGATCAACCAGTTGGGTGTATTCTGGCTACCTACCAGAATGGCTTAGCTTCAAGACCCAGAGAGCTGCATGTGTAGAAGAAATCACACAAATCATCCGCACAAATCAACAATCTATATTATTAATATTATTATTTAAGAAAAAAATTATAGATTATAAATAATTTATTTTTAATTGTAAACTTAATAAAAAAAATATGCGTACCATTAAGAGGCGCACCGTAGGTCACCTACTAAAGCCTAATGTTGGGAAAAATATTATATGCTTTAAAGCTTGTAAGAACCTCACGCAGCTTCTGAAAATTAATGGCCCCGCTAATTATTTATTTATTAATGCATGCACTAAGCCCCGTTGACCGATGAAGCTGCAAAACACAGCTTATGAGTGGGACCATCAATGAATGCCATTATCTCTATTAATGAAAAATATAAAAAATTATCAAATCTTTTCATTGATCTTTTAATTAGTTCCTGAAGTTTCAATTATATAATGAACCTTCATAGATTATTTTTGTTTGCTTAATCATTGAAATTTCAATCTATACTTATGAATGTGATTATGAAATTTAAATTTTTTATAGGTTTAATTTAGGTCGTCTTTTGTCATAAATCATCAAACGGTCAGAGTTCAATGGGTTAATTTACTCAAATCATATGTATTGTGATAATGGGAGGGCCCCAATTATAATATTTATTATTAATAGTTATATGTGATATTATTAAGAAAACATAGATATATGTCTTAATAATTATAAATAAATCATCATTCAATTCAATTGGGAGGATTTTAGGATTTGTCTTTAATTGTCTAGCCACTCGCTCACCTAAGCATTCTCATCTCAGCAAGTCTTAAAACTTTATTTTATGCTTCTCTTTTAAGGGCCATCATTCTGCGCTATAGATCATTGCAAGTTTTTACACCATCTTATAAAACTTTTCTTTCAACTTAAGCGGTACATTTCTATCACACAATATACCTGATACATTCCTCTACTTCAACCAACCAACTTTGAATTCTACTAATAACATCTCTACTAATAACATCACCATCTATATCACCTTCACTTTGAACAATAAACCTGATATATCTAAAATGTTCACGCCTTTTAATGATTTTATCACCCATTGTTATAGTTCTGTCACTAGAGCTACTCTACTAAAATTGCATTCCATGTATTCATTTTTAGTTCTACTCAAACGAAAGCCTTTAGATTCCAATGTAGACCTTCATAATTCAACTTTTTTTTTTCTGAACTCTTTCTCTAGTCTTATTCACAAGAAGGATATCATCAGCGGAAAACATACACCAAGGTACATACTGATGTAAATGTCTATTAAGAGCATTCATAACTAAAGCAAAAAAGATATAGGCTTAAAGTCAATCCCTGATGTAATCCAACTGAAATTGGAAAATACTTGGTCAATCCTCATTCTGTTAGAACACAAGTGACGACTATAGTGTACATTTCTTTAATGATAAGTGATATCAACACATTTTCTTCTATTTTATAAATATTAAATATATTAAAGATAATGCTTGATTTGCTGGTTAAAAATTATCTAAAATGGCCTCAAATCTATGTTTTTCAGCTTCACCATTGAAAAAAAGAGGAAATTTTATAGATTTAAAATTTTTTTTATAAACAATTAAATAAGCCTTATATTAATCAAAATTAGTTGAAATTGAGAAAATGGCATAACTTTTAAATAAGAATATCATATCAATCAACAACAACAAATAGTGCAAATTTTTGTATTTGAATTAATACTTTCTTCTTTAATAGAAACTTCTTGGACGCGGTCCGTGGTCCAATTCCCCATTCCTTTAAAACCCTCCGCCCAGGCCGCTTTGGAGAAGCCAAAGAGAGAAGAAGGCTGAGAAAGGGGGTTCCAAATTCAAAACTTTTTACCACATTTACAACCCTCCTTCCTCCCTGCTTCTCTTTTCCCTCTTCTTCAGTTCGATTTGTGGGGAGCGTTACTGCTGCGGTGAGTAATCTCGCAAGGATTGCCATTTTTTCATTTCTTCTTCTTCAACTTCTGTTCTCCGGGGAGGAAAAAAAAACAATTTTTTTCTTTTTTTTCCTTTCGATGCGGATCCTGATCTCATTTTGCGTTTTTTATCTGAAATTTCTGATCCGAATCCGGTATCAGATCTTTTTCTTTCCAGTTTCTTTTTTGTTTCCCCTTAAACAACCGCACTTCCTTGCTCGATTCACATGGTCCTTCTCATCTTTTCACATTTCTTGAAAAGGTTGTTCTTTTGTTGCAGCTCTAATAATGGCGGAGCCAAAACCAGATAACGCATCATCTAAATCCTCATCAAGGAGGCTCCCAGATTTCAAGCAATCCGTTAAGCTCAAGTATGTGAAGCTCGGCTACCATTACCTAATCACCCATGGCATGTACCTCTTCCTGACTCCATTAGTTGGAATCATCGCCGCTCAAGTCTCCACCTTTTCTCTCCAAGATTTATATGACCTATGGGACCATCTCCGCTTCAATCTCATCTCAGTCATCCTTTGCTCCACTCTTCTAGTCTTCCTCTCCACCCTCTACTTCCTCAGCCGCCCAAAGCCTGTCTACCTTGTCAATTTCGCCTGCTATAAGCCAGATGAGGCTCGAAAATGTCCTCGCCAAGTTTTCATTGATAGATCTCGGTTGACAGGCTCATTCACTGATGAAAACCTTGAGTTTCAAAAGAAAATCCTTGAAAGATCTGGCCTTGGTGAATCCACTTATCTTCCTGAGGCAGTAATGAATGTTCCACCCAATCCTTCAATGGCTCATGCAAGGAAGGAAGCTGAGACTGTGATGTTTGGTGCCCTGGACGAGCTCTTTGCAAAGACTAAGCTGAAACCAAAGGATGTAGGAATCTTGATTGTGAATTGTAGCTTGTTCAATCCAACCCCTTCCCTCTCGGCAATGATTGTTAACCACTACAAGCTTAGGGGAAATATTGTTAGCTATAACCTTGGTGGCATGGGTTGTAGTGCAGGCTTAATCTCCATTGACCTTGCAAAGCAGCTCCTTCAATCTCATCCCAATTCTTATGCTCTCGTCGTGAGCATGGAGAACATCACCTTGAATTGGTATTTTGGCAATAACCGTTCAATGCTCGTCTCAAATTGCCTTTTTCGTATGGGAGGAGCTGCAATCCTTCTATCAAACAAGAGATCGGATCGAAGCCGGTCAAAGTACCAGTTGATTCATACGGTCCGAACTCACAAAGGAGCTGACGATAAGTGCTATACCTGTGTGACCCAGGAAGAAGATGCTACTGGGAATATTGGAGTTTCTCTCTCAAAGGATCTCATGGCTGTTGCTGGCGATGCTTTGAAGACCAACATCACTACCTTAGGTCCTTTAGTCCTCCCCATGTCTGAGCAGCTTCTGTTCTTCGCTACTTTGGTTGGTAGAAAGCTTCTCAAGATGAAGATTAAGCCCTACATCCCAGATTTCAAGTTGGCATTTGAACATTTCTGCATTCATGCTGGTGGAAGGGCTGTGTTGGATGAGCTAGAGAAGAACTTGCAGCTCTCTGAATGGCACATGGAGCCGTCGAGGATGACTTTATACCGATTCGGGAATACTTCGAGCAGCTCCCTATGGTATGAACTGGCTTACACTGAAGCTAAGGGAAGGATTAGAAAGAAGGATAAGATTTGGCAGATTGCCTTTGGTTCTGGTTTCAAATGCAACAGTGCTGTTTGGAAGGCTTTGAAGGCTGTGAAACCTGAAAAGGAGAAGAACCCATGGATGGATGAAATTGAAAACTTCCCAGTCATAGTTCCAAGGGTAGCAGCAATCAACTAAACTCTTGATGCACTTTTAGTTATCTCATCATCAAGAGTTTCAAAGATTTGGTTCATGATTTATTGTATCCTATTAGTTAAAACCTCTTCTCTCTTATTTGTTTTTTTAAAGCTGTACTAAAAAAAGCTCATTTATGGACGTAATCACAAGGGTGTAAGTTAGCATCTTTCTTTCATTGCCTCAGGGAGAAGAAATGAGCTAATATTTAATTAGCTTGTGCTGTTTCATGGTGGATTGAGGTGGTGATGATGATGATGACCTTCTTTGATCTATTGTATTCAAATTCACTTTCTATTGTAGCCATGATTAAAACTTGGTGCTTGTTTATGTTATATATAAATATATATATATATATTAATCAATATTGGCATTATATGCATATATACCTTGCTGTTATTAGCTGGATCTCAGAAATTTAATGGAGGACAAGCCCTGCATCCCGGTCTTGTCAGTTTGCATTGACAACTAAGCACTGCTGAATGCTGAACCACAAAGTGAATTATAAAGGTTTGCACTTCACATCAATGGTCACAACTAACCAATTTCTCGCAATTATTATCCTTCATCTTATCCAAATTCTTTTGCGCTGACTGTTCAGGTTTCAGTTTACCTTATAAACATAGTGATTACAATTCATGGCGTTAAATATAATGTAATTTCTCTAATACTTTGCTTTTTTCTTTGGTGCTATACAAATAAGTTGCCTCTAAGGTTCATTTAATTTGCAATATTCCGGTATTAGAGCGATTTTTTGTCCAGTGATTAGGAAATGTGTGGTTACATAATTTGATTTAGAGATGACAGAAATGATTTTAATCCGTGAAAGTTGAAAGTTGAAGTAATCTTAATTCAATAAATGGTGGAAAATGTCTAAATTGCCCACAATAATGGTTGATCTAGAAAAATGTATAATTAATAATAATAATAATAACTTATTGAAGAACTCAAGAGAAAATTGTATAAGCAAAAGATGCTTCCAAATAGAATATACTAAAATGAGAAAAGCTTTAGTTTTAAAAGAAATCTTAAATTGAGAAATCTTAAATTGAGAAAAGCTTTAGTTTTGAAGATGAGGGTAAGCAATCATCTTGCTTAACTCATCGCCATTAGAAGTATTTAAAAGAAATCATAAAGTATAGAATGGGAAGTATATCTGTTGATGAAGTCCGTAAGTACACTCTCATCCTCTGAAAAGTGTAATTTCGGTGAAGATTTGAATTTCCTTGAAAGAGAAGTTTCAATCTTAAGAAGATGTGGTGATCATCAATTATAGTTAGCAATCATCCGAATACTCATTCATGAATGAACGCTAGATTCTGATTGTACTTATTACATAAGTAGGTTCACAAATTATGAAAAGCTGAATGGAGAGCCTTATTGGGAAACAACAAGACTTGCGGCCTTGTTGACACTTGATCTATTACAATAAAGATGCATGATATTCTGATGAGAATTCTTAATAGCGTACAACATGCCCCCGGTTTAAAGAGGAATTTGATTTCTCTTAGAGTTTTGAATGATTGTAATTATGAATTCAGATCTGAGGGTGGGTTGTCATGTTTTGTTCATTCATGATCTGGTGGACTTGTTTACTGTTGAACTGGCGAAGGATTTTACTAATGATAAATCCTTGAGTACAGCACAGCGTCTTAGGTAATTCCTTTGAACAAATTCATATATTATCTAAACTTATTAAATAAGTGTAAATAAAGTGATGTGAATGGGCAAAATCTCTTTTATAAATAATTCATTTTTTTTTTTGTTTTATAAATAAAGGTAAAGAATTAATCTAAGTGATTTATAATTATGCAAATAATATTGATTTATTATCCAGTTTTTTCTTGTTATTAATTGGTCTAATTAGAATAGTTTTATTTATCAACCCAATTGCTTTCTCTTTCTTATGTATATATATATATATTTCTGGAAGGGTGCTCCATGTGACTCCTGAGAATAGAATGAAGGGTGAACGAGCGATGATGGCATGCTTGTTCCATCTCATTATTTTTGGAGGATTGGGAGGCAGCTTTCAGTGAAAATCTCTTTCAAGTAAGATGACTGTAGTGTAAAGCAACCCCCATCAAGACTTTTAATGCGAATCCAAGCTACAATCGGTATGAAATAATTATGATTTTGTATGCCTCCGTCTATTTTAGTCTGGTTTTCTTCTTCCTTTTAATTTTATGGTAGCATTGAAACTTGGACCTGTGATATAGTCTTAACCTTATTTTGAAACAATTGATGGCTTCTTAAACTATGATTTACCCTTCAATCATATGAGACTTAATAAGTAATGATTTTTTCATACAAGCAAGTCTTATTACAGTATTATCGTTGTCTTGTGGAAATAGAGTTTTCCATAAATCTCTCATATCTATTCTTCAAAGACTAACAAAGAGCTCGAAAATAATGTTGTAGCGTGGAAATAGAGTTAATTCCTTTATTATCATTTCCATTTCATCATAACTCTATTAAAATTTCATTCAAACCAAACTGATATTGTTAGGCCTTGTTTTGTTACAAGGATTTATTTGTACAAGGAAACGTAAGAAAATAGAAACGGCTGACGTATTTAATTGAAATTATTTGCTCATTTATTTTTAAAATACAACAATAGTTTGAAAAAATAATATCAAAATCAAAATAACATAACATATGAAAGACCCTTCAGACTTAATTAGCTATTCGACACACATTATTACATTTCTTTTGAAACGCAATAAGTACAACCAACCATATATGATATATATATATACTTCACAATCTACAACTAGAATTAGAAAAGAATTGTCAAAATTAAGCTTTATGCACAAATAAATACATTAAACAAAATTTAAAATTTACAAAAACATAAACGCTCTGAAAAAATAAAGTCAAAAGATAAGAAACTTTTCCCATCTAAATGGAAAAAGAAAATCTGACTAAAATTCTCCAAGAGTCACGTCATGTTCTCCCACTGATTCCCCAAATATTTATCCAATTAAAAAAAAAAAAAAAAAAGTTTCTCCGGCAAATCAAATCAAAGAGGTTCACCGGAAAGCCACCTCTCAAACAAGGCGAAGCACTGTTTTGGCCTATTAGATGGCACCGCGTGGCTCCCGCCCTACATGCACACAACAAAACCTAGAAAATATATTTATTTGAAAATCATTTTTCCAACAATATTTACCTTAACGGTGGCATAGGTTAGATTCCCTGAGTATAGCTCTGTATATCTTAAGTTTTTAAGGAAAATCATTACAATCATTAATCAATCAATTAACCACAATCACTAGAAAATGTAATATCTGACAGAAAAAAACTAAGGTTGAAAAAAAGAAGAAGAAAAAGAGCTCACCCGGCAACTTGATCATCGACATGCCTTGATCTCCATTTATCCCTGACTGGAAGCTTTAAGGATCTTATCCATTTTGTAGTGCTTTGAAAGGGAACGAGCATGTCAAGGTCACCACTGTCATTTTGAGAAAAGTCATGTCTAAATCACAAAGGCTAACTCCAGGATAGAAGATAGTGAGGACTCGAAGAAATTTGGGGATTTGTATTGTATATGTGCATGTGATGTAAGAATATAAGCTTCCCTTTCAGAGGGGACTTCTATTTCTTCTTTAGGGAATCAGTGCAATTTATGATTATTTGCATAAAGATAAAGCTTATGTATGTGCAGATAAACGAAGTACGTAGCAGTGATTATAGTAAAATATGCTCATCAAGTGTTTTGATATGTAAGATCAAATTGAATCGTGTCCACCGCCAAAATGTTAAGTTTCTCAATTGAAGGATCAAAGGGGAAACAACCATCAATCCCACCGAGTATGTCATGGGATTTGAAGCCACCATGAATGTGTTATCTGAAGTTTTGGATTTAATTCCAAGTCGAATGATTGACAATATATCAAGTGCAGAAAATACAAGTGGTTGAATCTCACTTATAAGCTTATGAATTGGGGTGGGTGAAAGTGAGTTTCGTCAATCATGCAAACTTCAATTCCCTTTCCCCAAGAAGCAGATATCACAGTGGATGTTTCAACTAAAGTTTTGAAAACAATGAAACCGAATCAGCCAGTTTGACTTGAAATTGTCCCTTCGCGAATCATTCACCCAAAATCTACAAGATCCCAATGGATGCCATGACACATAGCTACTGACAAAAATCATTTGGTAAAGTTGAGTCAACTATTGCTAGGATGAACATTCCCCTTTATACTATTCAACTTAAATCTAAACCACACCACGGAATAGAATCACACATAGTCGAGAAAACCGGAACAAAAAATATGAACGGAAACTCAACAAAGACAATAAAAAAAAACATATGAGGATTTAAGGAAAAAGTCAGAGCCACGCCATCAAAAATTTTTTACAATGAATTTATTTCTCTTTTTCTTTGCTAGTGATAGCTCCTTGAAAAGTGGTTGGATCGATGAGATGATGAGAAGTGCACAAGAGACCAAGTCTTCATAACACAATCTGCTAGGAGACCTTATATTGGTGTCTCTCAGTCTGTCACTGGCTAAATTATAATTCTGCAGATTATTTGGAATGGAATCATCAGGTGTTGGATTTGAACATTCAACTCTCTAAGCTGTTTCTGAATGTTGTTCTAAATACATATGCACTGCATCTGAAATGGAATTGTTCTCTTGCTTGTCTTGATTCTACTGTAACATGGACTTTTCATCAAAAACTACATCTCTGCTGATCACCATCTTCTTTGCAATCGGATCTCAAAACTTGTATCCTTTCACACCTTTCTTATAGCCCAGAAAGATACACTTCTTGGATTTTGCATCAAGTTTTGATCTTTCATCTTCAGGTACATGCACACAAGCAGGACAACCAAAAATCCGTAAATGATCGAATTTAACTGGATTACCTATCTATACCTCTTTTGCGACCTTGCCACCCAATGATGCCCGAGGTGATCTACTGATGAGATAACATGTCATATTCATAGTCTCTGTCCAGAAACTTTTATGAAGCCCTTCATTCAGTCTCAAACATTTTGCCCTTTCAGTTAAGGACTTGTTCATCCGTTCTGTCACATCATTCTGTTGTTGTGTCTTGCGCACTGAAAAATATCTCTGAATCTCATGCTTCTCACAGAACTTCTGAAACTGCGAATATGTGTACTCCGTGCTATTATCGAATCTCAAATACTTGATCTTTCTGTCAGTTTGGTTCTCCACCTCAGCTTTCTACAACTTGAATTTAGAAAAAATTCAGATTTCTGTTTCAAGAAATACACCCAAACTTTCCTGGAGAAATCATTAATAAAGGTAAAAAAATACTGAGATCCTCCCAATGACGATTCT